CAAGCCATGAGCAAGTAGTTTATCCCCGGTCTGCTGGACGCGTTGAGGGCACAGGTATCTGGGTCGCCTCTGTCTGCTCTCCCAGGGGCATCAGCACCGACATGGGATCTGATGTTGCAGCTGCTGGCTTGATCCGTTGTGCCATAGCACATGCCCCTTGTGACTTGATACTTCACACAATAAATTTCAAGTAATTGCCAAATTTATTGTGAGTTTTTTTCAATTGGAAAGTCATACTCTTAACTGATAGTTTTATATGTTATTCAACTCTTCTTTTATTCTATTAATTTATATCTAAACCGCTTTATTAAATTTAGCTGTTAACCTTTTTGGTTTATCCGATTTTATGGGTTCTGATTACCACCAACTTCTCCATTTTGTGTTCCAAGTATATATGACTTTAAGAAACGTATGTACTTTGATCCAGTCATGTAATTTATATTTCTTAGGGCATAAAACAGTAATAAAATTGGTCATTCATAGCAATAAATAGAAAATAATTGGGATTTTACAATCTAATGCTCATTGCCATAGAGGCTCATTAATTCTAGCCAGAAGAAAATTGCCTTTTTATAGTATATTTTGGTTGTAGTAGAAAGAAGTGTGCTGAATAATTAAGACAGAGGTTAATGAGTACATACTTTGGTTAGGTCTGCATTTGTTTCAAACATTTACTGACAAATAGAACTTGAAATGCTTTGTTATCTTTGCAGAAATTGTTAAATTATGCCTGCCACTTTTTCAGCTTTATATCCATCTTGAATAAGCAATTAAGATAGCACAAACACATACAAAATTTCTACTATTTGAAATAAGATGCTATTTTATAACATTAAAGCTAGAGATAAAATAGTTGCATTTTATTCATGTTATAATTTTTAGGAAACAGCAATTATTTTGTCCTGTACATTTTTTTATTTCATATAGTTGCAGAATAGATATTTCAGTAATTACTACCACAAACTGAATTGCTTTTGAAAATTATTATATGTGACTGGTATGACTTTCATATGCTTTCTTTTGTTAATTTTTGTACAAGCTGGTAATTTTATTCATTTCTAATCAGCAAATTTTACAAATTAATGGAAAATCAGAATTAATTTTAAAAGCTGAAATAATATTCACTTTATGTATAACTTCATGTAGAATTTTAGTGTTAAGAATGTGTTTTAAATATTCCCTTAATATTGTTGTTAAAAATTTTTTTGTCTAACAGAATTGAACTGGATAATAATTTTATTGCATTTATTTTAGCAACACACCCCACATGAACACTAGGCAAGGATACGTTACTTTCACTCGGACAAGTATAGATAACTGTATTCATCTTTGTAGGATGGGCATTAAGTCATCCCGACCCACTTAGACAGAAAATGGAGGAGATGTCATTCTCCAGCGCAGCATTTGCTTTTTATTAAGAAAAGGGAGAAAAAAATGCAGGAAAGGAAGGAAAATAAATAAATTTCTGCTGTTTAAAATTAAAAATGATCAAATATTCTTTACAAGGAAGTTACGTGGGACTGGCATGGTGCTAAAGGGATGATGTAGCTGCTTATGTCTCCAGAATCCCTCGTGGGAACTGGTTCTTGTTTCAGTCCATATCCGGCTTCTTGCTGAGAAAGGCAGTGGAACGTGATCCAAGAACTGGGCTCTCTACCGCGTATTTGGGATGCCCAGAGGAAATGTCTGTCTCATGTCCTTGGCTGTGTGCTCCAGCCTGGCAGTAGTGGCCATCTAGTTAATGAACTCATTGATGGACGATCTTTCCATTTCTCTGTAACTCTTTTAGATATAGATACTTTTATTTTTATTTTTTGGTGCAGTTATTAGTATTATGATTACTGTGTTCCACAATACAGTTTTGTAGGTGTATGGATTTCTACCTCCCCCTTCCTTTACTTCCTTCCCATTTTTCCCTATATATCAAAATAACAGAGTTGTTTACTGATGATTACAAGTTTAAGTTCTGCTATTTAAGTATATCATAGTGATGTAGCTGTAGGGAAAGATAGAAAATCTAGTATCATACCATTGTCAAGATATACTTAACTGTTTCATTGTGAGTTCTGCTTTTATTCAGGAACAGAGATGCGTACTTCAGTGAATCTTTCCTTCCTCATATGCTAATCTGTATGATACATTCCATTTATGAGACTATAAGTTTATACTTGATTACCTATATAGTTCATTATTACTTTGAATGGAGGCTGTCTTAGACAGAACATATGATGTATGTCCTTTGGGACTGGCTTATTTCACTGAGTATAATGGTCTCTTTAGGACCATTCTGTCGCAAATGGTAGGATTTCATTCTTTTTATAGCAATGTAGTGTTCCATTGAGTGGATATAGCACAGCTTCTCATCCACTCATCTTTCAACAGGCATCTGTGTTGTTCCCAAGTATTTGCTATTGTGGATTGTGTTGTTACATATACAGGGTTTCAGGTTGCTTTCTCATAGACAGATTTCACTTCGTTTGACTTTATTTCCAGGAGTGAAATAGCTTGGGTCATTTGGTACACCAGGTTTCACTTGTCTGAGCCCTCTCCATGTTGACTTCCTTAGTGGTTGCACTAGTCTACATTTCCACCAATAATGGCAAAGGGTTCCTTTTCCCCCTACATCCTCACTTGCAGTTGTTGTTAGTTGATTTCCGAATGCAGGTCAATCTCACTCAAGTTAGGCAGAACCTCAATTTCCTTTTTATTTACATTTCCCTAATGGCTAAGGAGCTTAAACTTTTTTTCTTCTGTCTATTATCCATTTGAATTTATACTTTTGAATAATGCCTGCTCATTTCCTTCTTAACTGCATTGTTTCTTTTGCTGTTGTTGAGTTTCTGAAGTTCTTTGTAAATTCTGGATATTAGTCCCCTATCTGTTGTGTAGTATGCAAAGATTTTTTTTTCCAATTATATGATTGTCTCTTTGCTTTGTTGATCATTTCCTTTGCTGTGAAAAAGCTTCTTAGTTTGATATAGTTCTTTTTATTTCTTTTGGTTTTGACAACCTATGCTTTTGGTGCCTTTTCTAAAAGGTCTGTGTCTACACCTATATGTTGTACACCTGTATGCTTTACTCTAACAGTTTGATAGGTTGGGGTGCAGAATTAGGTCCTTCACCCATTCAGAGTTGATTTTTATAAAATTTTGTATAAACTGACAAATGGTCTTGTTTCTTACTTCTGCAAGTGATATTCAGCTGTTCCAACAGCATTTGGGAAAGAGATCAACGTTTTCCCCTGGGTCATTTGTGGGCTCACTGCTGTGTTTCTATTCGTTTCATTGGTCTTCTTTTCTGTTTTTGTTTGTTTTTACCAGGCAGTTTTCATTATCACTTCCCTATAGTATGTCTTGAATGTTTTTTTTTAAAGAAATATTTGTTGGGCAAGCAGTGAATATATTGAACACTATTAATTACTAAAACATCTACAAGAAAGGAGAGAATGAGGGAGGGAAGGAGAGGAGAAGGGAAAAAGGGAGGATAGAAAGAAGAAAGGAAGTGGGAGAAAAGGTAGGAAGGGAGGAAAGATGATCATTCTCTTGTTAGAATTGTATCTTGAACTACATGGAATCTGTTCTTTCTTTATTAACTTCACATTAACATGAGAATTGTGTTGCAACAATCATGCATCCGCTGTGACTCCGAGCACTGAGTGCTAATCAAATCAAATGTGTTAATTCATTTCCTACAAATGTTCAAAACAGACTGCAATAATTCAGCTAGAAAAAGATTCAAAGATATTGTTAAGACTCTCTAATAAAATTTTTAAAAGATTACCTGTTGCTATTGGAAAGGCAGATTTAAAAAGAGACAGAGAAAGATCTTGAATTCACTGGTTTACAGCTGAGCCAATCTGAAGCCAGGAGCCAGGAGCTTCTTCCAGTTCTCCCACAAGGGTGCAGAGTCCCAAGGCCCCGGGACTTTCTCCACAGGTTTCCCAGGTCATAAGCAGGGAGCTGAATAGGAAGTAGAACAGCCAGGAGATGAACCAATGCCTGTATGCGATCCCTGCACTTAAAGGGGGAGGATTAGCCAATTGCATCATCACATTGGGTTCTATTAAATAATTCGGAAATCAGTTACAGATGGATGATATAAGTAAAAATGTTTCATTGATATTAAAGTGTAAAGGTATAATTCTGACAGCCTATTTGCAAAAACCAGTGCTATAAATGTACAACAGACTTTGAAATAATGTTGACAATATAATTAAAATAAGTTATATAACTCATTTACTATTTACTACTCCTCAGCATGACCAAACTATAGAGCAAAAAACTGTCAGTCATTGCTGCTGGGAATACAAACTACCACCACAACCTGGGAAACATTTTGGTATTTTCTAACAAATCTAAGCCATAGGATCCAGCCAGCTTGCTCTTTGATACTTAATTCAAAGTAGTTCAAAATACTCATGCACAGATGTTAATTACAGCTATGTTCATACTTGTCTTAACATGAAAGAGAACTGTGTCTGTGTTTACAGAAATAAAGTGGTGTTTTTTTTTCACAGTGCAATAATTTGCAGGACCCAAATGGAACAGCAAACTTCCAAGTGATTAAAAGACTTGAGGATCTAATGCCTATTGCTAAGAGCAAGAAATTTTTGTGAAAACATCAGTGGTTTCCTGGAGTTAGGTTGGAAAAGGGAACACAGAGGAATTTTCGGGAAGCAAAAATACTCTGTGTGATACTATAATAATAGAAACGTATCATCTTATAATTTGCTCAAATCCATAGGATATAAATGTTAGTATCTAAAACCTAAGGTAAACCATAGCACTGGAGGGTTTTTGACAGACCATTGTAGGGTCATCAATTATCAGAAAATGTGCTGTTGGAAGGGATGGTGATAAAAGAAGAAACTGCATGTATGAAGAGGGGGAAGAGGCACGTGGGAAATATCTTTGTCTTCCTGTCAGTTTTTTTATGAACATAAAGTTGCTCTTTTAAACAGAAGTTTATAAATAACTGAATGGTCTTTTTCAAACACACAGGCCTCCCCCAGTGAGTGAGCTTGCAGCCCGAGGGACTGTGGTCGGGGTGGTTGCTGCTGCAGCCGTCAATCAAAGCATCGTGTACTCCATCGTTGCAGGGAATGAGGAAGGTGAGGGAATGTTCAGGCTTGTGATTTCACTGTAAACCAACAGCGGAGGTCCAAATCAAACTTAGTTCGATTATTGTTTGTCATGTTTTCCCACAGTAATTTTCAACAGTTAAAAGTAACTGGTAACCACCCCCTTTTAAATTGGATTTCCATCAGTGAATCACAGCTATCCTGTCCCATCCTGTTCTGAAACTCTGTCTCACTTAACCTGTCTGCTCTTTTCTGTGGAGATGGGAAAGGGGATTTTTTGTTACTGCTTCTCTCTCTAAATGAAGACTCATTAATAAATTAATATATCTGGTAAACATTTTTTTGAGCATTTATTATGTACTAAGTACTCTTCCAGCCATTACAGGTTGGTCAATGAGCAAAACAGATCCTGTGTTCACTAAATGTAACAGTGAAAGGCCAGGATATGGTCAATAAAGATATTAACAAAAAATGTCTGACATTTTAGGTGGTAGTTAATGCTATAGAAACGTATTTGGAGATTGAAGTAGGTTTGATAGAATAACATTTAACAATATATACTGCTTTCCTGTTAAATATATATCAGTAAATTATCAAACAATATGTTAGTGCAAGATATTATAAAACATTTACATAAAAATCATGTTTAAAAGGCTAACATTAAATTATCAGTTTATTCTCTAAAGCATTTGTTGTAAAGCATTAAATCTACAGTGTAAAGTGCATTAAATTATTAAGCATTTACTAGACCAAAGAATATATGAGATAATATCAAAAGGGGACCTTGAGAATTTCCAAAAATATTTAGTTTTGTTCTAATTCTCTGGTGATGGATATATTGTGTAATGCTCTCCAAGGATAATTTACCATAGCAGCCCTGATGGCCGGCATGAAAGCACAATAAAACAAAATGGTATTCAAAACGAAGCACAATGCAAACACTACAAATCTGATACAGTACTTAGGGAAATATCGATATTGGTGATTTTAAGAGCTGAAAAACATAATTTCAAAAAGCAAGTATAGCAGTTACACCTTACCCATTTTACAAGTAAGTGCCCTTGAAATCACAGTGCATCTTAATGAAATCTGTTCCCTCTTTCTAGTGATAAAAATAACAAGGAATCATGTATTCCATTCTAGACAAATTCGGGATTAATAACATCACAGGGGTTATCTATGTGAACGGCCCTTTGGATTATGAGACGAGAGCAAGCTACGTCCTTCGCGTGCAAGCTGATTCTCTGGAAGTGGTCCTCGCCAATCTCAGAGTTCCTTCGAAAAGTAAGTAAAATTTAGAGCTTTAGAAGCATTTTGTTTATGCTGATTTTCTCATAGGATGTATATATGTTTAAAGTAAAAATCCTCAGTGGAGAATGTGAAATGATTCATATGCAGAGACGATTGCCTATTCATTTGTACAGCTAATAGATGGCAACATGTGGAGTAATTTCCTACTCTGAAAATGTCAAGGCAATAATAACACAATATGCTGTTTTCAAATATTGTATACAATGTTGCTGAAGCATCATAATTATCTGTGTATGTTCTTATTCACACTGTGAAACATGGCTTATGCCTTTGAAATATGTGAACTTAATGATTCATGAATACAAGATACCACCTCAAATACGTGAAATTTTGTACTTATTTTCTTAGAGTGGAGAGCAAAGCATCTTAAAATCCAACACTAACATTTATTGTGGTTTGTATGTAGCATGTTAATGAACACACATTTCAAGTGTCGTTGCCTTCTACCAAGACAAGATCCAGAAAGGTTTAGTAATATTTTCTAAAATGACAGGAAACAAACAATCAGGGATTTAAGCCTGCATGTTGAGACTCTAAAATCATTTTCAAGCATTATAGGTAATTTAGTGTGCACACACAGGGAAGCAAGTAAAAGCCACTTTGTGAAGAAAGCCAGCACAGATGCTAAGATAAGTAACCAGTAATGGGATAAGAGCTATTCTTTTCCATCTATTGATAATCCCACTTAAGCAAATTCGTTCTTTTGTAATTACAGAAATCCTTTTAGAATCTACAAGATTTGAAAAAGAAATTTCGGTTAATATCACACTGAATACAGAAACAGATATAGAAATGACAGACAATATCTGAAACATTCACATTTTACCTTTGAAATCTCCCTAGACATTCTGTCATGCTAACAATCAGCAAATTGTGGGAAAAAAAGAAGAGGAAGAAAGGGGAGGAGAGCCAGTGGAGAGAGCCTTGGCATACAAATTGTTACTTAGTGCAGCCAGTGAGAGCCAGCACCCATTCACAGTGGGCAAAGGGAATGTGGCTGTGTCCACCACCCTCTGTCCTAAGCTGGGGCCTAACAGCAATGGAATGTTAATTCCATCCTTAGGGAGCCCTCAGCTACTCCTCCTCCCCAACACCCGCATCCCCCAACCTCTGCCCTCCCCCCTCCACACCTAGGTGTTTAGTCCTGCCCACCTGTGACTCTCACCTAGCAGCTCAGAGGGGACAGTATTGCATTCCTGTATTACCACTCCCCTCACAAGCCCCTTGAAAGGCTCATGAAGCAGGGGCTTGTTCTCTTTCTGCTCAGCTGCTCCCATTGCTCTGACACCTCAACTCTTGGCTCACAGGTAATTCCTCCAAGCATGGCCTCTGTATGTCTGTATTCCTCGCCCTCTGTCTATTGCTTGGGTATGCTATTTCTGGTTTGTAAGCTATCAGGAGTTCCAGGAGAGGCAAGGTCCAGGCGAGGTGAGGCCTAGCAGTAGTAGAATGTGGGCAGAGATGCCAGGGAGAGGTGAATGTCTGCAGCTTTGTAAGTGTGTCCAGGTTATTTGCTGCATGTCTCTTAGGATAACTTATATTGTTGGGGAAGCTGGGACATAGGTCTTCAGCTTAATGGATGGTCTTAAGGTAATGACCATTTGTTCCTCTTGGGGTTATGTTTGGCTGGATTATGATCAGTTGGGTTGCCGTATGGACTTGTGATTTGCTATTTCTAGTGTGTTCTGTTATCACCAAGCTTGGTTAATAAAGACTCCTTAACAAACCTTAGACATGTTTGGTGTGATCTTACACCCATCCTCAGAAAGATAGGGGTGCAAGATGAGAGCAAAAAGCAAATGATGCGTAACAGATTTTTCCTTATTAGTACAGCATTTGATAACAATAAAAATAAATCAATTCTGGGGCTAGTGTTGGTATTTCAACTTAAGCATCTCCCTGCAATACCAGTATCCCATATGACAGTAGTTCCAATCCCAGCAGCTCTACTTCTAATTCTGAAAGGTAGAAGAGGATGGCCTAACTGTTTGGGCCCCTGTACTCATTTGGGATACTGGAAGAAGCTCCTGGCTTTGGACCAGCTCAGTTCTGGCCACTGCAGCCATAAGAGTGAATCAGCAGATGGAAGTTCTTTCTGACTGTCTCTTCTTTTATCTCTTAACTGTGGCTTTCAAATAAAAATAAAATTAAATTAAAAAAAAAAGCTAATAAATCCCTGTCACCTATTGCAAACCTTACTGATCTATCATAGAGGGCTAGTAAAATGCTTATAAAGATACAATGAATGCCATTTTCTTTGCTGTCCTGCAGTGATGGACTTGGTGCAGGGAGCCTGAGATTAACACGCTAATGAGACACGTAGACTACCAACTGATGATCAATAGCTGCCGTTTATTAGTGGCATCAGACTTTTATAGACCAAGGTTCATATAGGATAAGGGGGGAGGTATTGAGCTTATCTACGGATGCATCGATTGTTTCTACACCCTTGTTTGGAACTCTTGCCTTTTGTATGTCCCACCAAGTGTTGCCATTCACATGCTGTGTGCTCAGTTGTTCTCATGCAAATGATATCCAATCAGTCACACAGCTGGCATCCATCCAGTTGTTCTCCTACAAGTGTTATCCTGTCAGTAGTAATCCTGTGCTCGTTGACCTTCCATTCTCACAATGTCCTTCTACACTGTTTGAAAAACGAGATTATACATAGGGTGTGTTTGAAATTAAAAGGATTAAATTGTTTACAATGATGAGGCATCACTCAGATAATTACATTGTTTCAAACTGAAGAACAGTTGAGTTAGCAGGATTTTTAGCTGCAGAGAGTTATATAAATTCAAGGAACTCAGCGTTGCAAATGACAGCGTTGACTAAACAAATAATCAAAAGTTCAGGAGTTGCTTTAAGTTAGTTGTAACGGGGCCCGGCGCGGTGGCGCAGTGGTTAAGGTCCTCGCCTAGCACGCCTGGGATCCCATATGGGCGCCGGTTCTAATCCCGGCAGCCCCACTTCCCTTCCAGCTCCCTGCTTGTGGCCTGGGAAAGCAGTCGAGGACAGCCCAAAGCTTTGGGACCCTGCACGCGCGTGGGAGACCCAGAAGAGGCTCTTGGCTTCGGATCGGCATAGTATAGGCCGTTGCGCTCACTTGGGGAGTGAATCATTGGACAGAAGATCTTCCTCTCTGTCTCTCCTCTCTGTATATCCGCCTTTCCAATAAAAAAAAAAAAAACATAATAAAAATAAATCAGCAAGTAGGAATGATGGATTGAAAGTCATACTTTCATCATTTGTATGAACAAAGAAGTAGTTTTAGGGAGAAATTTTTGTTTCATATTTAGATTATATATCCTGGTATTTCTCAAAGATCCTGTAATTTCATTGATGTACACATAGTATGTATAGATACACTAAGTTCTTATAATTGATAATAATGTAAATAGCTTATATTGTGTTCTTTGTATGTGATTTTTATGTTTTATTTTAAAAATGTTTTATTTTAAAACATTTATTTGAAAACCAGGAAGACAAAATGAGAGGCAAAGACAGGGAAATGTACCATCTGCTGGTTCACTGCTCAATTGTCGTCAGCAGCTGAAATGTACTGAGATCTTCATTTTAGTTTCCCACCAAAGTTGCTGCAAACCAAGTACCCTGTTTATTACCTTTTGTCTCTCAGACTCATTAGCAGAAAGCTAGATCAGAAGCTGCTTGGCTCATTCCACATCCTCCTTTATGGGTTGTGAGCATCCCGAATGGCAAATCTGCACCAAACTGTCTGTCCCTAGTTATCATTATCTAACCTGCTGTGCAATAGCATACCAGAACTTTTGTTTTTCTTAAGATTTACTACCCTTTATTGGAAAGGGAAATTTACAGAGATAAGCAGAGACAGAAAGATCTTTCCTGTTAGTTCACTCTCAAGTGGCTGCAATGGCCTGAACTGAGCTGATCCAAAGCCAGGAGAGAGGAGCATGAGCAAAGCATCTCATGTGGGTGTAGAGTCCTGAGGACTTGGACCATCCTCTGCTGCTTTTCCAGGCCATAAGCAGAAAGCTGGATGGGGAATGAAGGAGGCAGGACAGAACAGGCACCCATATGGGACCCTGGTGCTTGCACATGGAGCATTAGCCAGATGAGCCATCATGCTGCTTCAACTCCTTATTCTTATATTATGTATAATTTGATACCTGTTCATCAACTTTTCCAGCGGCCAATATCCTGTATGCTCTTCCCAGATACTGTTTATCATCATTACACTTCCTATATGAGTGAGAACTTTTGGTGCCTGTCTTACTGAGCTTGGCTCATTTCTCCTAACATAATCATTTCTGTTTCAACACATGTTATTGCAAATGACAAGACATAATCTTTTTTAAATGACTGAATTGCAGTTTATTTTGTTTGTGTACCATAATTTCTTTATACATTCAACATTAGTGAACATGTAATTTGTTTCCATTCAGTGGACAATGAAATTGAATGTGTATGTGTATATATATATATGTAATTATATATATATTATGTCATTATATTATACATATTATATTTAGTTTATCAGCCCAATGTAACATTTATAGATATAGGTTTTTGTCTCCTTCAGTATATGGTTTCTTTACTCTGTTGAATGTTTCTTATGGTGTGTCAAAGTTCCTTAGTTTAATGAAATTCCGTTTGCTTATATTTTGCTTCCTGGGATTTAGGTTCTGATTAAAAAACAATCAAGCAACGCCCTTGTCCATGTCAGTGCACTGAAGCATTTCCCGTGTTTTCATGTAGAAGCTTCAAAGTTTCAGATCTTACCTTTAGAATCTTCTCAATTTTGAGCTGATATTTGTACGTGGTGAAAGATAATGATCTAGTTTCATTCATTTATGTGTGGTCCTTTGTTTTAGTTTAAACATAAATCTAGAACTAACAAAAGTTTATCTACTACACTCATGTACTTTTAAGGGTTCCAATGATACGCAGTAGACCAATTAGCAAATTTATGAATTATCTCTTAAGAAATGCAT